GCTCTTTGTTAGATTAATTTTGTTTCTTCAAAATTACTCTCAACCCTAAACGCAAGTGGTCAGGAGAGAGAGATCGTCGATCTTTCCCCATATTTTATTTTATACTTAATAAATTTTAAAAAAAAAAATACTTAATTTTGGATTTTTGATAAAAATTTTTATTATAAATTTAAAAATTAAACATCTTCTTTTTAAAATTTATTAATTATAAAATAAAATATGTCATTTTAATATATTTTTATATATAGAACAAAGTTACTTAAAAATATAAAGTTAGGATATGTTAATAAATTTCTAAAGATTATAGTATTTTTTATAAATTTATTAGTAAAATTAAAAGAATAATACAATTTTTAAAATTTTATTAATAAATTTTAACTTAGTATTCTAAAACTATTTTGTTATATATATAAAAATATATTAAACTGAACATGTTCATGAACATTGAACTAAACTTTTATTATATTTAAGTTTAATTTAGTTTAAGTTTAATTCAAGTTCAGTTCAGTTTAGTTTAGATTCAATTAAACTAAACTGAACTTATTTAAACTGAACTTTAAAAACCTTAGAATTAATACAGATTACAAGTTTAAGAGGTTTAAAATGAAATATCTAAGCAAGAGAGTTAGGTATAACAATTAATAAAAAACCTTTAAGTAAACTCCTTAAATAAGTAACATATAAAAGTTATATATGTAATTAATTATACACTCTTCTGTAGTGATTCATAGAATCATATTATTAAAAAAATCTTTAATAAAAGTTAAAAGACCAAAGAGATCACTTTAATAAAAAAAAAAGGTTAAAAATAAAATAATAAAAATGTTCTATTATTTTACTAATATATTACTACTATGTTACCAATATCAACAAACCTTTATGTTATTGTATTATTATTCTACTGTTATCTTACTATTATGTTACTATTATTTAATGAATATAAGATAAAATAACAAAAGACTTTTATTTTATTATTTAACTATTATTCATCCTTTATTCATTTGTTCAAGCTGAGAATTTGATAAAAGTAAAATAATTACCGATTTTAAAAAAAGTGGTATTTTGTAAGAAGTGATTCAATTTTTACATTCTTTGCATTATTTGACCTGTAAAAACCTCAGCAATTTTGTAAATTCGTGCTACTTATGAAAATCATATGATTAAATAAAATTGTTACGTATTCAGATCTGTCAAAAAAAGCGTTGATTATTTTATTATCATGTGATTTCATGACCACTGACTAGTTCAAATCATACATAGACGACGGTAGGTTTTTTTTTTAATTTCGTAATCATAGTTCGTAGATTTTTTAGAGTTGGTATTTTTAAAGACTCGAGTGTAAAGGGTAGTATAAAGTGCTGGTTAACTCTCGGTTTACAAAAAATTTAGTCATGGGAATTCCAAAGTTCTTTCGATGGATGAGGTAACCCCTTCATGCTTGCATTTTTCGTGGAAGCTATATTTTGTCATACATCTTATTAATGCAAACATGCTTATTCATTTTCATTAGTGAGAGATATCCACTTTGCAGTCAGCTAATACAAGAAAATAGGCAAGTATTTAAATTTTCGCGTTTATTTTTTCTCTTTTAATATTTCTTTGACGTAATTTGTTTTAAACGTAGAATTCCTGAATTTGGTATGTGTCACTTATGCATATATTCGACCAAGTTATAAAATATTAAATTTTGAAAGGGTTGATATTTATATCACTCTTTTCAACGCAAATTTGACCTTTAAATTTTATAGATAATTTATATCTTGACATGAATGGCATTATTCATCACTGCTCCCATCCAAATGATGTGGATGCTCACTACCGCATATCAGAAGACAAAATTTTCCTTGATATATTCAACTACATCGATCATTTATTCACAAAGATCAAACCAAAACAATTGTTTTTCATGGCAGTGGACGGTATTTATCTTAAATTTTAAATCGTCACTTGAAGCAGTAAATAGATTATATATATTCCCATTATGAATAGGAGTTGCCCCAAGGGCTAAGATGAATCAACAACGAGGTAGACGGTTCAGAACAGCTAAAGAAGCTGCAGAAGCAATTCGAAGAGCTGAATCTAAAGGAGAGGCATTGCCACAAGAGGCACCGTTTGATAGTAATTGTATTACACCAGGTATGCATTTTACCTTCTCAAGTATAAATATAAAAAAATCGATATTTTTGTGTGACATTTTTTATAACATTTGTTCAGGCACGGGATTCATGGCAAAGCTTTCTCTTCAACTCGAATATTTTATTAACAAAAAAGTATCAGAAGATGCTAATTGGAGAGGCGTACAAATAGTATTATCTGGGCATGGCGTACCAGGAGAAGGCGAACATAAAATAATGGAATATATCCGTAATGCTAAAGCTCAATCGGACTATAACCCTAATGTTAGACACTGTTTATATGGATTGGATGCAGATCTAATTATGCTGGGGCTTTTGAGCCATGATCCACATTTTGCTTTGCTTAGAGAAGAGGTTACATTTGGGCCTAGCAGCAAAAAGAAAAAGCATGGGTGTGTTCAAAAATCATATGATTATTATTTGATTTAATGTTCAGCTTGCCTATCTACATGTGCTTAAGAATATCTGCATTTAATGAATACTAGACGAATAGAATCGCAGAACTTCTACTTAATGCACTTATCGCTCTTGCGAGAATATCTAGATCTTGAATTTTCCACTCTTCGAGAATCACTCCCTTTCGAATACAATCTCGAACGAATAATAGACGACTTTATTTTGTTGGCGCTTTTCGTCGGCAACGATTTTATTCCACATTTGCCTAATCTTCATATTGCTGAAGGCGCACTTGGTTTAATGTTTCAAGTTTACAAGAAAGTTTTACCACAAGCTGGTTAGTCGTAATTTATAACGCAGTTAATTATCATTTTCTTCTACTAATCAACATGCACATGAATAAATTTCATCTTTTTAGGTGGATATATTAATGATGGGGGATTATTAGATATGAAGAGATTAGAGATGATATTTAAAGAATTAACCGTTTTTGAGAGAGACATTTTTGAAGGCGAGTTTGTGGATTTAAAATATTTCAAAGGAAAGCAACGAAAATATCTAGAACAAATCGAAAAAGATAAAAAAAAGAAGAAATTAGGTATGTATTTATAGGTATGTCCAATCGCGACGTATATTTTAAATATTTTTTAAACCTTATTATCCAAACATAATCGTTTTGCGCTATTTTTAGTGATGACTCCGAGACAGCAAGAAATCTTTAGACAGACTAAAGAGTTGGTTGAATCACGGTCCCAAAAACCTATTCATTTTCCTGTTGATTATCCTGCGCGGGACCGTGTTTTCATTCAAAATTTAGCAAAAGATTTAGCTATTCAACATTCAGTAGAATATCATGAAGATGGAGAAGATAAACATGTTTATGTAGAATATGATTCAGAAGATGAGTCTGAAGAAGAAATGAAAGAAATGAGAGAAAAAGCGTTTAAAAAATATGAAACTGCAGAAATTATTGAAGAAGATGATGTAGAGGCTTTTGAGGAAAAAGAAAGGCAACAATATGAAACGAAATTTATTGATTGGAAAAAAGAATATTATATGGGAAAGATGAATATCGACTATGATAATCCGGAACAAATGGATGGTATAGTCGGCTCTTATGTAGAAGGTTTGCAGTGGGTATTACACTATTATTATAACGGTGTAGCGTCTTGGGGATGGTTTTATTCATATCACTATTCACCGAAAATATCTGGTATGTCGGAATTATAATGCATAATTGTACTATATATATGAGTCCAACATCTTGTCTTTTCTATTCAGACTTGTACGATTTAGAAAAATTTGATATCCAGTTCGAACTTGGTAGACCCTTTAAACCTTTTGAACAATTAATGGGTGTTTTACCCGAAGGGAGTAAAAAACTTTTACCACCTGCATACCAGGTGCGCTGTATGAAAGATAAAAATTTCTTTGCAAATATGAATTTTCCTTACACAAATTTTCTATTTAGGCTCTCATGACAGACACTGATTCGCCGATAATAGACTTTTATCCTAAAGAATTTGAACTAGATATGAATGGAAAAAAGCAAGATTGGGAAGCCGTAGTTAATATCCCATTTATTGACCAAAAAAGGCTAATATCAGCTCTTAATTGTAATTATCGACAGTATTGACATTTGTATGAATACTCATGTAATATAATATATTACAAATATTTATACTTACTGAACCTTTGACATATTAGCCAGAGAACATCTACTGACTGAAGAAGAAAAGCAGAGAAACAAATTTGGGGAAAGTCTCATGTTCACATACGACCAGAACATAAACGAAAAATATCCGTCTTCTCTGCCAGATTTTTTCCCAGGTCAGGTTAACAAAATAATATCGCTATTTATATTGCTTAAAATTGGCAGTTTTTACCCACACAAGTCTTCTATGAAGTTATATTAATATTTTGATGTTCAAAATACAGATATTAATCATTGCCATTGTCGAATGGAAACCTATTACCTTCCTACTTTAAATGGTTTAAAACTTGTTAAAGGATTGTGTGATGGAGTTAAATTAGGTATGAAAGCTATGGCAGGGTTTCCATCATTAGAAACCATTCCTCATACTGGAATGCTTAGCAGACACGGTGTCAATGTTTTCAATTCCGAAAGCAGGTATAGAAACAAAAAAATTTGTTTACTTGTAGTTATTATGATATAATGTATAATTATTCTTAATAATTTCTATATTATTTATTTAACATTTTGGTAGAAATGAAACAATGGTTATTACGCTTGTGAATGAGTTTGCTAACATGAAAATGGAAGATATTGCAATGAAAACGGTTGGCAAAAGAATATTTGTTGGTATGAATGACTTTTGCTAATAGTTTTGTCATTGCTGCACTTTCCACATATTTCCTTGAGTTCTCATAAATCACGCTTTTTAGGTTGGCCTTTTCTCCAAGAGGCTTACGTGCAGGCTATTTCCGATGAACTTTTCAGATATGAACTTGCAAATTTGAATGTTCAGAGACAAGATGTTAGAAATACCCAAACTATTAAAAATCCTCAAGTTATTAAGAATCCCCATAGGCCGGATGTACTTGAACATTGGCGTCGGAAGGCTGACAAATTAGAACAAAATTATAGCAAAAGATATGGAACTATCACGGGAACTGTGGAGGGCATAGCTCATGTCTTAATGTTAAAAGGTAGCGTATTCCATAATAGTTTAGGGTATACGTTAAATTTATTATAGTTACTTATTAGAGCTAATAGCCTATTTTATGCAATGTTATTAAGGTCTAAGAAGGCTGGGTAATGGTGCATTGGTAAAGGAATATGCAAGTCCCAACGAAGAAATGGACTATGCAATTCAGACAACTGTGAACAGCGTTGAATGTGAAGATCCTCGATATGAAGAAAAGCCGGCGACTCAAATATCAGAAGAATTTCCGATACACACCCAAGTTTTCTTCCTTGGTAGTCCATATTACGGTTGTCCAGGATTAGTTGTCAAAAATGCTAAAAGAAATTTGGCAGTAAAATTGGTGTGTAAATTTTGGAATAAAAGTTGGTCTATTATAGACATTTCCTGATTAACGTATTATTTTGTAAGATTATTGATATAAATAATAGTAGCATGGCGTCTAATTTCGGCAAAAAAATTGCGAATGAATTTGATAGTCGTGTGAAATATTATCCATCCTTTCAGGTTGCAAAAAGATTAAGCATGAGCGGTCTAACTTTGAGTAAATTAACAGCTAGCTTATATGTGATTTGTAAGTCAACTGATCAGCGGGTCAACCTTGGACTTAATTTAAAATTTGAAGCAAAAAAACAAAAAGTATTGGGATATACAAGAAAGTCACGAGATTCTGGATGGGAATATAGTGAGAAGGCGATACAAATTTTGTCACAATATAAGGTAACACAATGATTTTTATAAGTATTGATACTAGTTTGTATTAAAAGGATCTAAATTTTATAGGAAAAATTCCCTGAATTCATTCAAGCTCTTGAAGAGAAGCATAAAGATGGTAGTTATGCTTTATTACTTGCTTATAAGCCCGGAAGATTTGGCCTCTACTAAGTTCAATATTATATAGAAATTTATTCTGCTGAAGATTTTTATCCTAAAGACGAAGCTGTTTCCAAAGTTCATGCTATAAAAGAGTGGTTGAGAACTGTTGAAGTGAGAGATTTTGAAAAAGTATCATTGGATGCCGAACAATTGGATAAGGTATAAATAATTTCAAAAACTATACTTAATTTATTTAAATAGCATTTATATTGATTCAATTACATAATTGTATACCGTTATTAGGAGGCAATAGCAAAAATAGAACAAGCAGCAGTTGAATTTACTAACAAGCAATTTTTTAAAAGACTCGTTGTTCGAAAAGTTCCAAGAGATGTATGTTGGATAAATATTTATGTCTGTTTTTATATTATTTCACAAAAATGAAAATTAATCCAAACCAAGTTTTGGTGTCATTTAAGGTATTATTGAAACCAGCACACTCTTCAACACGTTTACAAGGACAAAAATTTAGCCTTGGTGATCGTGTTGTATTTGTCCAGGATTCTGGAAACGTCCCGATTGCAGCCAAAGGTACAGTGGTTGGTGTTGAGAGAAACAATATTGATGTGGTTTTTGACACTTCATTCATGAGTGGTTCGACATTGGGCGATAGGTCTGTATGCCTTATATTAGGCTTTGTTGATAGCATATACTGTTTGACTTAACCTTTATTCGTTTAAATAGATGTTCTCTATATCGTGGTATGACTGTACCTGGATCTGCACTTCTTAACTTAACAGACATGCAATTCATCGATCACAGTCGAACAAATCATAGCAATGGGATTATTGGCTCAAGATCAATAAGTTTTAATTCGAACCACCTGCGATCATCTTTAGGGCTGAACGGTCATTCTAACCACCATAACTCATACTATGGTGGGCGTGTTGGGAATAGTAAAAATAACAATATGTATGTAAATGCGATAAACGGTTCGCAGAATGTGAGAGCAATCATGAGAGTTCGTAATGGTAATAATGGTAACGTATCTTTGGGATCGAATGGTTATATACCTCCTTCATCAACGTCTTCATCACAACGAATGACCTCACAAATGTATGGTCTCACGAATAAATATATACCAGTTCATACACACAATCATTACCGTAGTGCGTTCACCGGAAATATAAGAGGTGGAAATGGGAATGGCTTTTTTTCGAGAGGTAACGTTGGTGGGCGTGGTGGACATTTTAGCAATGGAATGAACGGTTTTACACCCAGAGGGCGGGGTAGAGATGATGGAAAAACATAATAGCGCATAAATTAATGTTTGACTTTTTGGTTATTCATAGAATTAGTATTGATTTGTCTTCACTTTCTTATTATTCGATACTGCTATTGTAATATTCATTGTCCTTTAATCCCCTGTAATTTATATTTATGTAGTTATTCATTTAACACCATTTACATTCTTTTGATTTGTGCGCAAATAGTTCATTTACGATATGTAATATTACTGATTCAGTTTTAATCATTCTAAAGCCACTGAAACGATATCGGATCAGAAAATCAGATAATATTCTTCAATTTCCTTGATTATAACGAAGGATTATAATCAGTTATAATGTGAATTTGACCAATATTTAGGCGAGTAAAAAGAAAAACTTAACAATTGATCGAATTGTCAGGTTATAAAAGAAAAGTGTCAGAATAATCTAAGAGTGCTGTCAGGGGATTTATCAGATTTGTGCAGTGTTAATTATATGTTTTATGGCATAAACTAGTTAGGGATTTTTATATTAATTCTGAAATATTTTATGCTTTTGGCTTCGATAATTGTTCGAAAGACATTACGGTAGAGGCATAGTCACCAACAGTCCCAACGTTATCACCACCAATCGAGGGTGCAGTCACGTGATATCCCGACCTTATAATTCTCCGGAAATTTAATTTCAAATTTTTATTTTTATTTTTTTGAATATGTCGCAAAATAATGCCCTCCAGAGAGCGAAGAATTAATTTTACGAAAAACTAATACTATATGTCGTCTTTCTAAAGAAGGTTATGAAAAAAATTTTTTACAAAGAAATTTTTAAAAAAAAATTAAATTTATTGTTTGTATTCGTTAAAATTAATAAGCTATGAGAAATACACGACATAACAGTCTTTCTCTTAACATTATAAATCCACAACAAATCAATCTATCTACAATACTACAAGGAATGTGCTTATTATTTTTATTACATTAATTAAACTATTTATACAAGCACAAATAAAGACAAGAAATATTATTATTAAACTTCTATGTTTCAAAAAGTTTATAAACAAATATGGAACAAAATTGATATAATGAAAAAAGATGATAATATTTTATAATATATTAGAATCAAATAATAGAAATTTATAGAAATTTATATAAATTAATTATAATAACTTATATTATAGTAACAAACATTAATTATATAATATAATTTGTAATTTATATTATTAAAAATAGATTATAATCATCATTAATATTTAAAAAAAAAAAAAAAAAAAAAAATATAGATTATAATTCATTAATATTAAAAAAAAAAAATAGATTATAATTTTTTTAGATTATTTAAATTGAAATTTTAAACATTATATGGGTCATATCATCACTTATGATACATTATATTTTATAAATAAATTAAAAAGCTTATTAATAATATTAAATCTAATGAGTATTATTTTAAACTATACTTTTAGGATTATATATACTATAATATTAAGGTTTAAAAATAAATTTATTATATTTTAAT